TTGATTTGATATAGTTTTAATCATATATTAAATATTTAAATGTATAGCACTTTATTACTTTTATAAAGCATCTGCACAACTTCAAAATTAAACTAGACACAATTCTCTGTTAAGGCATTCAATGTTGATAGGCACATCTGAGGTACATTGGCAGGAATATAATTTGTAAACAACACTTCTGGAAACTAATTTATGTACATATGAGGAAACATTTAAAATTGCATGTTCAGTACTTCTTGTTCCATATTCAATAATTATAACTCTAGGAATCTATCCTTTAAAAAATAATAAAAAGATCAGCCAGTAACTTATATACCAAAATGTTCAAATGCAATAAATTTGTAATGGATAACAAAATTGTAAGAAGCCTATATACTCAACAGCCATGGATTGGCTGTGATTTTTTTTCCCTGCTCAGTGCTACTGGTCAGTAATAAACTTGTGTGGCATCCACGAGGCCCTGAGTTCAATCTCAAATGAAATAAAATAAAACGATGCTATTAGAATATATTTCATGCCAGAGAGATACTTTCCCACAGAAATCTTAAATCAAAAAAGAGAAATGAACAACTGTACTTATAATTTAACTTGATTTTTAAGCTACACGTGAGAAAATGCTAGAAGTAGATGCACCAAAATATTAACATGTGTTAGCCTTTAATGGTAGGTCTGTGCTAACTCTGTCAGTATAAATGGTACACACACCTACCTATTTTCTTCTCTGAACCTTTCTGGATTTACCATATACTCTAAAATAAGAGTACTGTCCATATACCTGGAGGAGGCATGAGTGGTGGAGTAGGATGTTGTTACTCTTCTAAAACAAGCCCAGGAGAAGGGCAGACTTGCCTTCTTTCTTCCGTAGTAGAGCAGCTTGGTGAACTTCTCCACAGTCTGCTCCAGCATCTCCACAGCGGGGGGGATCTCCCCAGTGAGCAGGTTGCGGGCCCCAGTGTTCATCACAGGCCAGTCCTCATCGGCCAGGCTGATGAGGTTGGCCACGGGGGGCTGTCGCTTGTATTTCTCCAGTTTCTTGCAGTCTTGCATCAGCAGCTCAGCTATGTCAGACCCCACCATGGACTGCAAGGCAAAGGGGGCCATCCTGAGGGAGAGCCTTACGAGTGTTCCTGCTGCCCAAGCTACAGAAAGAAGGCATCGGGCATCATCTGCCTTCTTTGTAAGAGGACCAATCATGCAAACACAAGGCCGTCCTGTTTTTGTACTGGGGATCGAACTTGAGTCCTTGCACTTGCAAGGCAGGTAGCAGCACCACTGGACCACTGTATTTCAAACACCAGCCTTACTACCATGCTTATTTTCTGCCTGTCAGGAGCCACAAAACTTACTGGAACCATTCACAAATTCACAGTGGTATTATCTGACTGGTGCAATAACCCAGGTGCAGTACAATAATCCCCAGCCAGCGGAGAAGAGAGTCAGGGGGACTGTTCAAATTAGCAAACTGGTGTTGACATTGGAGGACTGTTTCTCTAGGGACAATGTGTTGCTTTTTTCATGTTGCTTTACACGATCATACCATAAACTATACCTTATCTATCCCATGAACACCGAAATTCCGGTCCAGCCTGCACCTGCCCTCCCATCAAAGCAGGAACTTACCCCATTCTGGCGACAAAGGAGAACCAATAGTTGCCAAAGTAGAGCCGAGTCCCTGCTCCCTGGTGTCCCAGATTTGAGGCTCTGAGCTGCTTTCTGCTGGCAAAATGTCATGATATCCACCTTGTGTACATCTTGGCTGTGAAGAGATTTCAGGAAGCAGAGTGAGCGAGCAGACAGGCAATTTTGCTTTTCGGGATGCCAGGTCTCCTATAGCGTGCAGATGCCAGATGGGGCTGAGACTGACAATGCTGCTTGACGGCCCAGGGCTGGGTAACACACCTGTACCCATAGGACAGTTATTTCCTTTTGAATGGGAAGGGACTTCAGAAATTCTCTTGCACACCCCTTCCCTTTTACACATGAGGAAACTGAGTCCCAGAGGCTTGAAGTGACTGCACAGAATAGCAAGTAAAACTTTGAAATCTGATGACCCTGGGTCCAAATCTGGTCTGTAACTTCTCAGTTTAGACAAGCTTCTTACCTCCTCGGATCATCAGCTTTCTCTCTCTCTCTCTCTCTCTCTCTCTCTCTCTCTCTCTCAGCCCTAAAATAGAGCTAATAAAAGAAACTACCTTTGTACAGAAAAAAATAAGCAAAAGAAACTACCTTTGTACAGAAAAAAATAAGCAAATAGTATCAAGTGCTCAGTAAAGAGACATTGTTAGTTGCTCAAGATCATTCAATAAATCAAAGCCAAGTTAGGAGCAAGTGCTTAATACCCAACTCAGTTCTCTACCCACATCTGTATACCTGTGTATAAGACAGAAACAACACTCAGTTTTACCTAAACAAGTCTTCAAATGCAATATGGGCATTTTCTTGGAAGGGAAGCTTCAGGATCAGAATATATTTTTATAGTAGTGATGATATTTAGACGGTTTCCACCTGCCATGGTGTGGGACAGGCAGCATGGATATTGCATGATTTCTCAGCAGGAAAACTAATGTTTAAAGAGGACCAATAGACGTGCCCACCATGGTTGCGCTAGTTAATAGGATGCCTGAACCCAGAAGCCAGGTCTTCTGACACTCAGCCAAGCCTCTGAAGAATAAAGAAACCCTGATTTTTTTTTTTTTTTTTTGAATCAGAAACATGACTGGAAATTTAAAAGCAGTTCCAGTTTGGTCCTGTAGAGGACTGCACATTGTCTAATAACTAGAAAGCTGATGGTTTTATCTTTTAAAAGGCAATGCTGCAATAATTTTTTTCTATTGTGATCTATTCCCCAGTGATTTCCAAGGCTATGCTCCATTTTTCCACTAATATCTATGAAGTGCACAAAACACTAAAACTTCCTATCATGAAACCTCTACAAAATGAAATCAATTTTTAGATTTCCAAATTAAATTTATTTTTCTTTCTGGCCTCCAAATACCAATGGCTTATCAAAATGCCTCAGGCCACCTCTGGTTCTCTTCAGTGGCATAGAGAGCTCTATTCCAACTGGGACAGACATTTTCTTCCAAGGAAATTGAGGATAAAGCCCCAAAATGCTGACTTGGGCAGGAAGATTTTCCCTTCCTCAGCAGCTCTTACAGTAATTCACCTGATCAGGGGTCCTGAAAAACTTCTCATCTCCTCTTGGGCCTCAGAGTCATTAAGAATTACCTAGAACAGAAAATCAAATTGGTCTTGAAGACTATTTTACTCAGTGCCCTCCATCAGATCCCAAGGCTGTGGCTCTGGGCCTTGTGACAAAGCAGGATGACCAAAGTGAGGGGTCTTGTTGAAGACGAGCCACTAGAATCTCAGCGAAAACATAGCTGTGGCATCACTTCTTTCAGAAAGGAGCTCACCATTCCTGCACCCTTGGGCATGGCCCGGTTCCCCACCAGTCTCCCCTTTTGGAGATGCACAGGCTCGGGCAAAAGGAATCATGGAAGTATGTCAAGAGCGGTTGGGTGAGCAGTGTACCAGCACTACCAGGCACAGAGCCTTATTTACCTACCTCCATGCTACGCAGTTCAACAAGGGCCGCCTGCCCATCCATGGGAGAGCTGGGACACACACATACCAGCTGACCTCCTGGCCCAAAACTCACAGACACATGAGGCACATAGAACTTCTTGGGTGTCTTGGGACCAACTGCTGAGGTAACACACTACCAGGCAGAGCCTTATTTACCTACCTCCATGCTACGCAGTTCAACAAGGGCCGCCTGCCCATCCATGGGAGAGCTGGGACACACACATACCAGCTGACCTCCTGGCCCAAAACTCACAGACACATGAGGCACATAGAACTTCTTGGGTGTCTTGGGACCAACTGCTGAGGTAACCCCTGACCAGTGGACACAGATGACATTGTTAACATTATTTTCACCATTTCTCTTTAATTTAGAAACATGCCACAGATATGTTTCCATCCAAATTCCACCTGGGACCCAGATAAGATTCTAGGTGGGCTACATAACTAGAAGAAACCCACGATCCATGCTCCATTTTGAGTTAAGCCTCTGAGAATGTCAGAATGTAATGCAAGGATTTGATAATTTGATCCAAATGATAATGCAGCCAACCTGGACTTTTTTCCCCAGTACTGGGGATCAAACTCATGACCTTGCACTTGCCAGGGAGGGGCAGCACCACTGAGCTACGTCCCAGCCAACCAGCCTGGATTCTGAGTGATAGTGAGAGGCCTAGAAGTTTCTGGCCGCTGTACCTTCTATGCCCATGGCAATCTCCTACCACCAGACAAAGCAGTTATGCTTCCTGGCCCAGCCTAACAATGCCTAGAGGCAGTGTTCCCTTCTAAGAACCAGCCATGGTACAATCGCCTTTACTAGAGAAAAAGTGGGAAGTGGAGCCAAAGTTGGCTTCTCTGCCTAGAATTCTGATCTGCGTAGGAAAATGAGGCAGATAATAATTCGTTCCCAGAAATGCAGGGTAAAGGTGACTTCCCAAGATCCATGCCACTTAGCCTTTCCTCATTAGGCTCAACCATTAACATTTATCACTTTGGTACTCACCAGCCTGAACTGGACTCCAAGCTGCTGAAGTCCTAGGGTCACACTCCTCAGAGCCATCTGCCATGTACTGACTGAGCTCACAGCTGCTGGAGCTGAGACCAGATTCATGCTGCTGGAGAAGGCTGGACTGGCTAGTCCATGACTGGTGAAAGTAAAAAAGCAATGAAAACACTTGGGAAGGAGATTCAGGGAGCTGGTCCCCCTAAGTGATTCTTCAAAGAAACACAATGCAAAGTTTCCAATAAATACGGTGATATGGATATGCTAAAGGAGAAAGACCATTCCATTGGAAGATTTTTGCTGAAGGGTGCATTATGACTCAGTGAATAGCGTGCAGGCCCTAAGGTTAGGGGACCTTGAATTCTAATGTTCACTTTGAATTCCAACACCCTTCTACCATGACTTTGAACAAGTGACTTATGTTACCCAAGCTCAACACCTTCATCTGTAGATAAACATATTTACCCTATTGCTTACTCATATATTCATTTACCACTATATTATGAGCTGTGCTATGCTAAGGGTACAGTGCTTCCCCAAGGGATATGGATATATAAGAAATTCATGGAACTTACATTCTGAAAAGATATGAATAAAACAATGTATTCAAAACTCTTTGTACACTGAAAAGTGCTATACACACGTGTGTCACTGTTGTTACTGGGTTGTTGACATCTGTCATGGTAATAGATGCTCTACCCTGGTAAGCACTAGGTATACAGAGAAATGTCATCAAAGCTCGTGCATGGATAATCAGATGACAATATTAACACAAGACTTGCAGACATTAAGAGCTCATCTCCATAGTATACCCCTGACCAGTGGACACAGATGACATTGTTAACATTATTTTCACCATTTCTCTTTAATTTAGAAACATGCCACAGATATGTTTCCATCCAAATTCCACCTGGGACCCAGATAAGATTCTAGGTGGGCTACATAACTAGAAGAAACCCACGATCCATGCTCCATTTTGAGTTAAGCCTCTGAGAATGTCAGAATGTAATGCAAGGATTTGATAATTTGATCCAAATGATAATGCAGCCAACCTGGACTTTTTTCCCCAGTACTGGGGATCAAACTCATGACCTTGCACTTGCCAGGGAGGTGCAGCACCACTGAGCTACGTCCCAGCCAACCAGCCTGGATTCTGAGTGATAGTGAGAGGCCTAGAAGTTTCTGGCCGCTGTACCTTCTATGCCCATGGCAATCTCCTACCACCAGACAAAGCAGTTATGCTTCCTGGCCCAGCCTAACGATGCCTAGAGGCAGTGTTCCCTTCTGAGAACCAGCCATGGTACAATCGCCTTTACTAGAGAAAAAGTGGGAAGTGGAGCCAAAGTTGGCTTCTCTGCCTAGAATTCTGATCTGCGTAGGAAAATGAGGCAGATAATAATTCGTTCCCAGAAATGCAGGGTAAAGGTGACTTCCCAAGATCCATGCCACTTAGCCTTTCCTCATTAGGCTCAACCATTAACATTTATCACTTTGGTACTCACCAGCCTGAACTGGACTCCAAGCTGCTGAAGTCCTAGGGTCACACTCCTCAGAGCCATCTGCCATGTACTGACTGAGCTCACAGCTGCTGGAGCTGAGACCAGATTCATGCTGCTGGAGAAGGCTGGACTGGCTAGTCCATGACTGGTGAAAGTAAAAAAGCAATGAAAACACTTGGGAAGGAGATTCAGGGAGCTGGTCCCCCTAAGTGATTCTTCAAAGAAACACAATGCAAAGTTTCCAATAAATACGGTGATATGGATATGCTAAAGGAGAAAGACCATTCCATTGGAAGATTTTTGCTGAAGGGTGCATTATGACTCAGTGAATAGCGTGCAGGCCCTAAGGTTAGGGGACCTTGAATTCTAATGTTCACTTTGAATTCCAACACCCTTCTACCATGACTTTGAACAAGTGACTTATGTTACCCAAGCTCAACACCTTCATCTGTAGATAAACATATTTACCCTATTGCTTACTCATATATTCATTTACCACTATATTATGAGCTGTGCTATGCTAAGGGTACAGTGCTTCCCCAAGGGATATGGATATATAAGAAATTCATGGAACTTACATTCTGAAAAGATATGAATAAAACAATGTATTCAAAACTCTTTGTACACTGAAAAGTGCTATACACACGTGTGTCACTGTTGTTACTGGGTTGTTGACATCTGTCATGGTAATAGATGCTCTACCCTGGTAAACACTAGGTATACAGAGAAATGTCATCAAAGCTCGTGCATGGATAATCAGATGACAATATTAACACAAGACTTGCAGACATTAAGAGCTCATCTCCATAGTATCTTTGCCACTTTTCCATAAAAACTAAACCTTTTCAGAAGTTAAAAGTCTATTTTAAAATTATGAGCTATATTTTGTAGCAGTTGGTACACACACTATGACTTTAGAGGAAAGAGATGAAAGAGTCAGAAAAAAATTCAAACCCTGCCTTCAAACCTGAATTAAAAGATTCTAACAACTTTCCATTTCCTGGATAAATCAAATTGCTAGTGCCCTGGGGTCCCTAACACCTAACACTTCAGGGCAGCTTCTTCTTTCCCAGGCCAATTTGACAAAAATGCAAAAGAGCCAGTCAGCGCTTCAGACCCATAAGACTGAAAGAGAAAAGCAGGGAAAGGAGCAGGGGCAGAGGGAGGCTCTGGTGAGAGTGGAAGAGTAGAGTCCCACAGACAGCTGGCCCCTGAGACCCCATCCCTAAGGGGCCTGCCTGCCACTGCTGACAGTGTCAGTTGTGATGCATGGCCAAGGGCCTCCAACCCATGTCACTTTGGGTTACCTTATTCTTTGGGACTCCTGTTGGCAGGTTCTCTGGAAGGAGTTCCCCAGGCTGCTCATGTCCAGAGCCAGAAGTAGGGCTGTCTTTATAAGTATTCCAGCTGGTAGAGCTGCAGCAAAATGACAGCAGAGTTTAGACAGGTGCTGGGCCAGCCAGCAAGGCTGAGGGCTCTCCGCCAGAAGCTGTCCTAATTCTAAGTGTGGGCAGGTGTCAGGTCAGTGCAGATACCATGGGGAAAAGCATTTCTCTCTCATTCCCTACCCAACATATTGATCCCAGAAAAAGGCACTGCTAGGTTCCAAGTACAATTACTGGAAGTGGCCTCAGATCCATAGACAAGAGTTGGCCTGTGCAGCCTGTCCTCCTGGAATGTCTCATCGAGAACATGTTCATGATGGGACTATGATTCCTATGTCTCACTGCCAGGTGGCTCTGAATCCCCAGGGGTACATGAATGACTGTTCCATCAGTCAGCTTGAACCGCCAATGGTACATGCATGACTGTGCCATGTGGTCTTATGCATGTATCACCAGTGGTTCAAGCTAGCTAGAATAAGTTAAATCAGAGCACCCGGATTGGTGAATTCCAGGCTAATGGCACCACAACCGAAGCTTGGCAAAAATCTCTTCCTTGCTCTGCCTTTTGTCAGGGTTATGTTCCATCTAGAGGTCCAGAAGTAGACAGAGAAGAGGCACTTCATTTCCAGATAGGACCTAATCATAAGAATTTTGCAAGGCCACATCCATTCTGAGGCCCAAATAGGTTTAAGGCCTGTAGGAAAGGCCTCCAGTAGCCTCATAGGACATAAATGAGCCCTGGTTGAAGAACAGCTCCTCAGAGATCAGAATCCATCCTGCCAGGGTCCTGTTAACAGTAGGCCTGGGCCATCCTGTGCTACTGCCACATCCCTGTGGCTGGAACAAAAGCAGACAGGTTACTGGAGATGGTGGACCACCCCACCAGATACTTTAAGATTGGCCTAGAGGAGTCGGAGCTGAATGAATCTTGTCAAACTGTCCTCTCCTTTCACACTTACCAGAGTTGGGTCTCATTATTTGTTCCAAATGGACTATATGGGTTTTCATGATGATATTCATTGAGATACTTCTGATCTCCATAATCTTCATGCCAGACATAAGGACTCCCCTGCCTTGGCACTGCACCCTCAGAGAAAACAAAATAAAGGCAGATCACCTGCTGTTTCTGAAAGTTCTTTCAGAAAGACACTAGTGAAGCAGAGTTACTAGAGCACAGTAAGCATAAAAACATATTGTTCTGGAAGCTGGAATAAACTCAGCAGTGCAGTGCTTTCGGAGCACATGCTACACTCTCATTTGATTCCTCGCACTGAAAAAAAATGCCAAATTGATTTAAATTGACAAGTCAGAGCTGACAGTGCCTCTGTGAACCAATCAGCACAGCTCTATCCATGTGCTCAATATTAGGGATCAGGGTGCTCACGCGTGCATGTGTGTGTGTACTCAACACTGAAATAGGTTTTCCTTTGCTAGCTGGGGAGAAACTACCGTCAGCCCACACCTGTACCTGTCAGTGGAGGATATGCAACTCCTACTGGTACACGACTGCCACCGGAGGGCAAAGTGATAGATGCGTACTACAGCCCAGCACACACCAGGTGCCCTTAAAAACTGACTTTGCTGCTACTTCATCAGTACCTACAACTATGGCTACAAGGAGCAGTCAGAGGAAAATGTGAAGCACAAGCCATGCACACTACTGGTCCTGGTAACACAGCCATGAGTTTCCAAGCTATCATCACATGCGAAAGGAAGCCCTTTCCCCTCTTCTCAAGACATAAGGAGCAAGGTCTCTACTGTGGTCTCATCTGCCCAAGGGGAGGCTCTGCACACAGCACCAATGGCCTCCGCCCTGTCTTCAGGCCGGCTGCTCCCAACCCAATCCCCAAAGTCTTCCTGGAGACTCTTCCATACCTCTTTCCTCCGGCTGCCGCTGCAGGCGCCCACTGTAGCAATAACTTGCATAAGCAAATTCATCCCTCAGGGCTGGAGAGTAGTATCTCTGATAGGGATCCTTGTAGCCCACCCTACAATATCACAAAAAAGGCCAGTCATCTGAGGATGATTGCAGAAGACAGAGAAAGTAAGGGCACACTGGACAAATTAAACAACTTCGGAGGGTAGAAGAGCCACCCCAGTCCAGAATCTGCCTGAAAGCCACAGTTTGCTCTGGATCTTAGAAAGAGAAAATCCAGAATCAGAACAAGAGGGAGAAGGACCTTTGTTAGTTACATAATAAGGATGGGATTTTTATTGTAAAACAGCAAAACTCTTTTTTTATTTTAAAAACCTACTTCAATTTAAAACTTTTTTTTTAGTAAGACTCTTACTCTTCAAATACTCTGCCCAGATATTATCTGAGAAAACCCCTTCCTGAGAGAACTGTAAGAGCCCAATATAACAGTATAATTTCCATCCACATCATGGATAGAAATGAGATGGAAAAGGCAAAGTTGGACGATCTTATATCTGATCATTTTTTATTGCCTCCGTCCTTTACATACCTCCCTTTGAGAATTCAACAACCCAAAAGAACAAGGAAAGAAACATCATGTTATTAGTATTAATAATACCTCCGCATTTCATAGAGGCAAAATTCTTTATAGTAATTACCATAATTTCAATGCTAAATGTGTAGGTGCATAAATGTCATCCTAACTGAAAAAATAAGTGGAACATAAACAGCTTCCAATGTTCTATGAGATATTTAGTCCAGGGCTATTGATTAGAATTCTGCAGGGACAAGAAGGAAATTCACATTCTCCAACCTAGAATTACATCTCTGTGTGCTCCTCTTTCTGAGTGTAAAACCTTTACATCTATATCTACCTTTCAGGGGCTGATTTTTCTTAAAGTTTTCATTTGTTTAATACATTTACTTTGTGTGGCTTACCATACTGCAGGTACTGTTCTGGGCACTTGGTCACTGTTTCGTGTTGGTGGTTGTCATGCTAACACCAGGGCAGGGTGGCCCAAAGATGATGAGGATATAGGACCCTAAGAAAAGCTTTTCCTTAGTCTACATATATCGCCTTTTGCAACCCTGGAGCAAGAAGGTCCCATTTGTGGTCTTGAATTTCTACCCTCTACCCCTTCCCTAATCCCCAATGACCTATAAAAGCTGCTTTAAGAAGCACCTGGATAAAGAGGAAGAAAAAATTCTGTCTTCAGTCACCAAAAGCAATTTGACAGAAGACAGGTTTTAACTAAGGCAATGTAGTAAAGGAAGAAAAAGAAGTCAAATAAACAGTTTGCAATAGCTAAAACTTGGAAACAACCCAATTGCCCATCAACCGGAGACTGGATAAAGAAAAAAATTTTTTTTAAATAAACTGGAATACTTCTCAGCCATAAAGAATGAGAAACTAGAGTCTGTTATAGCTAAATGGATGCACACTGAGGCCATACTCTTAAGTGAAATACATAGGTCACACACATGTCAACACTGAATAGCTTCTCTGGTGTGAGAAACTGAAAGCGTAAATAAGGATCAAAATAGATAATGTGAAATAGGAAGAAAAGGTCCAAAGGGGAAAGGGGAAATGGACGGGGTATTGGAAAGGAAAGAAGAGAAAGGAATAAATATGAGAAAGGGAAAAAATGGAAACAGTCTTTGTAAATAGGGAGAGGTGGAGGGGTTGAAGGGAAAGCAGGGGAATGGGGAAAAATAAGAATTGAGATACGTCATGTAAAGGTACAAACTCCCCAATAATGAAAGCCAGCATAGTGTATACCTAAAATATACCAATGAAATTAATGGGGGGAAAAAGGACAAGAAAGAAGGAAAAGAGCAATCTGTTGAAAAGCATCTAGGGGGCTGGGGATTTAGCTCAGTGGTTCAGACACACCTGCCTTGCAAGCACAAGGACCTGAGTTCAATCCCTGGTACCAAAAAAAAAAAAAAACAAACAAAGAAAGAAAAGCATCTAGGACAGCTAGGTTCATTCCAAGGCTTAAAACCATACCTGGAGTATAAGTGAGCGGGATAACCCCCTGCATAGTAGTCGACTCCAGACCCAGGCTGAGGCCTATCCCCAGGCCTGGATGCATAGCGGGGCTGCTGGTAGTCTGCTCTGGGGCCCTGCTGTGGCTGTGGACTCCTGCGAACATCTTGCCATTCATAGAACCTTTCTCCGTTGTGGTGAGAGTAAGGAACGGGCCGATGGTGTCCACTCCAAAGCCCTCGATCTGGGTCCTTCTCCGGTGCCTTGGGCCTCCCCCATGGCTGAGATGGCCACTGGGGAGCCCCAGGTTCCATCTTGACCCTCTGAATTTCTCTTGAGCTTTAGGCAGTTATGTAGTTATTTTATTTTCCTGCACCAAAAACGATGGGAAAGAAATCATCATTTTCAGCCTATAACCAAACATGATAGTTGATTAGGTTGTGTGCAAAGAGCAATTTGCGAACCTCAAAACCCTGTCTAAAACAAACCATATGCACACAAAAGAGAGAAATCTGAAAAAAAAAGAAAAAAACGAGCAGATACATAAGATAAATAACAGGCTCAGCAATTATATTGATGTTGCTTAAAAAATTTAAAAGTACATACGGAACAGCAGATGTGGGAGGCATGGGAGACAGATAACATTAATAGATGCAGCCACAAAAATGCTATCAAGGAATCCCAGTGAATGTTTCTTCATTTATCCGACCGGTAAATATTTATATAACACTTACTATGGATGTGCTGAAGTAACACAGAAATAGAGCTGGCCCTGGAGAGAGCTAGATCAAAGTTCACTGATCGCAGAGTGCCACTCACCAGCTGGCTAATTAAGCCTCGATTTTTTCCTGTGATTTCCATAAAATGGAAATCATAAAATGGAAATCATGATAGCTACTTCATAGAGTTATTGTCAGCATTAGAGAGCAATATGGAAAGTGGCTAAAACACTGCTTGGCATACAGAAATTGTCCAATACATAGTAATAGTTTTATCAGAGATAAAGGTTAAGGGGCTGCGAGTGGTTGGGAGATATTTCCTAAACAAACAGAAGCTTCCATTTGCCTCTCAAGAGATTATTTTTTGAATCCTTACATCAGTCTTCTGGAAGAATGAGACCTTATAATATGGCATCCCTCTTCCAGAGAACCAACAGATGAGCACCTGGAGTTGGGGCGATGAGAAAATAAAGACCTTGGTCTCAAGAGTTCGTCCTAGCTGGAGATTTTCAAAGCTGCAAGTCTTCCTTGCATCAAACAATTTCCCCATTTAGTCCTCAAAATGAGAAGTAGCTGCAGGGACCGAAGGCCTTCCAAGCCCTCTGTCCATCTCATAGAGGAGCTCTGCAGAGGAAAGCATGGCTCAGACCCTACTTCCTGTGCAGGGGGCCACTAGGTCACTGGCTCACACAGGCTAGGTCTGCCCTCAGCTGTCTTCTCCCTTGGGAACTGCTTTTAGGCTGCAAGATTCTGCTCAAACACGTTAAGGTGTTCCCATTCCTGAAGCTCCAGCATCATCTAAAAATTCATATCAGATCAAAAGGTCAAAAGGGTATGTATCCAAACCAAGACGTCACTGTGCTCAAACACCACAGAGCAAGGGTCCAGAGCTACAAGCCAAGAGCTATGAGACAGCAGAATGGACAAGAAGAGCAGGGTGCAGATTAGCTCCCACCTCGACATCAGTCACAAGTTGAGATCAGAGGAAAGTCAGATCACTTTCTTTAAAAAGCCAGGTGCAAGGAGCACCTCTGCCAGCAAGTTCCAGGAAAGGCTCATTGCCTCAGATGCAGTCTGAAGGAACAAGGGCTTTCATAAAGGCCCATGGCTCAACACCACTGGGACACCAGTAAGCAGAACCAGGAGAAAACTCCTTTTACTTTGGCCCCAGAAATTTTCACCAGGCAGCCCATCTCCAACCACAAAGAAAATACCCCAACTTATCAGTGAACTCACATGATTGCGTTGCCAAGACACCAACTCCAGTAAGGTGCAATATACCAAATTGAAAACACCTAAGATTCTCCAAATGAAGGAACTCCATCTACGATGACACAGCACACTCTAGCATTCACATAAACAACCTTCCCAGACCCCAACAAAGGCAATGGTGCCTTTTCTAATCTGCCAGCCCAGCAAGCACAGCTCGAGAGGGAAAAAGCAGCTAGCTTTCCCACACACCTGCTCTGGCAGCTTCCCACCTTCCTTCACGCTGCTCCAGAGACGTGCCCAGAGTACTTCCTCTCCTCCAGGAGACTGTCAAAGTCCAGGTGCCACATCTACCAAGACTTATCCAGCCCTCAAATCCATAGCCAGTTAGTTACCTTTGTGACTGCTCGGCCTCCATGGAGCTGATTCGTGAGGGCAAAGTTCAGCCCAGCCACCTCAGGCTAGGACAGTTCTGATTTGATGTATTTGCTCAGCACCTTGTGAGAGGCTGGTGCCTGTTTGTGGGCTGAGCCAGGTCACTCACAAGAGAAGCATCCAAATCCCCACAGCAAACACGGAAAGAGAGACAGCAGAGAGAGGAAACCCAGGAAGCCCTGAGGCAGCCCGGTGTAGGGAGAAGAGCTCGCCTTCGGGAAGTGAACTCACGGCTCTATGGAGGCTGCTTCTATGGTTCAACTCTCCAAGTCTCAGTTTCTTTTTAAATTGGGAATAATAATGCTTAGTTTATGAAAATTACCAAGTGGATTAAATGTTAGTGAAGCAGAACATGATATATAAAAGTACAATCTTTTCCTTTCAAAGAGATGAATTTCCACCAGTCGAGTCAGTGGGGTACTCACAGGTGAGGCATAAATACCTTGATTGCCAGGTATGGGTTCTTCTCTCTCACACTTCACTCCATTGGGTTCTGGTTGTATAATCAATTCTGTTATCAAACTGGGCGGAAGATTTAAAGGGTGGCATTGAAATTTTTCTATTTAACAAGAAAGTAATTTCTCACATCTGAAAATGCATTTCTTCAGCAAGATAAACGGGGAGAGGCTTATGTCCACATTCATGCACATTTCAAAATTCAGTTTGCTCTTTTAGAAGCCCAATAGTCTATTCTTTCTTTCAACAAACTCTTAACTGAGCTCCTGTTATGAGCACACATAATATGAAAGGCACCGGTCTTGCCTTCACAAAGCTTAGACCAAATTAGCCTCTATGTAATTGCCAGTCCAGGGAAAACTACCACTATTGGGCCTCATAAATTGGAAATCATAAAATCATATACTTGAGCCAAAGGTCAACTACTTGTGCCTTAAGATTTTCTCTCAGTCCCTTCCCTGACTCCCAGCCCCTAGCAATGGTGTACAGAATTCTGATTGTGGGTAGTGGTTTCTTATCTTGCTGCTCAACAAAGGCTGCCCTGCTGTTTTAATCCTTCCAGAAAGAAGCCCTGAAGAAGGACATATACAATGACAGCAGAAATCAAAACACAGTTGGCCAGGGATTTAGCTCAGTGGTTAGGTGGCCTGCCTTGCAAGTGCGAGGACCCAAGTTCAATCCCCGGTAACAAAAAAGAAAGAAAGAAATCAAAACACAGTTGATGATGACACATAATATGATTATAACTTGATATCAAGTTATGTGTTCTGAAATATCACAATATCAGTCATAAAAGTCTGATGTAACTTTTGGCTTATAACATGGCATTAGACATAAATATCACCTGCATTATTAGAATGCTAACTTTGGGAAGGATCTTAGAGATTATTTTAGCCACTTCACTTTTTTGATGATAAAACTAAAATCTACAGAACTGAAGTGATTTTCCCAAGATCAAAAAGCTTAGCAGAAGTCCAGTGAGGATTATATTGGTGTGCTCCAGCTGCCTTGAACAGGACTTGTAGAAGCTCATTATTAAATACGCAGAAATTGTATGAGTCATTTAGCAAACCACAGGTAACCTGAAATCTGCTATGGTGGAAATAAATATCTGCACTGTAGAAAATGAAAAATACTACAGAGCAAGTTTGTTGTTCATTTGTTTGTTTGTTTTTCAAAAAGCCAGTTTACCAGTTTACCGGCATAACCCTTTAGTTCCTAACTCAAGGCTCCTCCAACTATAGAATTGTCATTCCGTTACTAGCCTTCACTGTACATTATTAGTTTAATCATCCATCCCAGCTATTCCAAATGCTCCTTTTGTGACATCCCAAAGCATTTTTAATTATCTCAAGAGTTATTATAAAACTCTTCAAACATTCACCAACCAAAATTAATTTTAATTAGCTTTAATTATTTTATGTAGACATATGGCATGCAACAGTTATATGGGTCACAGAATGAAATAGATTGTGGTGAGATCTCACCACTCCAAAGCACTTGAGATTTATCAAACTCTCCCTCCTCAACTTCTTATATCTACAGTTACTAAGGCTTTCAACCCGTCAGCTCAATTCTTCCTGGTTTCTAAACCAAATCGACCCATCTCGACAATACATTAGAAGTTCATTTGGATTTCAATTTAGTGCATGGTGAAAGATAAGGGTCTAATTTTAATCTGTGGCAGGTTGACATCCAGTTTTTCCAACACCATTTATTAAAGAGGCTATCTTTCCTCCACTGAGGATGGTCAGCTCCTTTGTCACAGATGAGGTAGCTGAGTACATCTGCATTTGTTTTTGTGTCTTTCGCCATGCACTAAATTAAAATCCAAATGGATTAAAGATCTAAATATTAAAACAGAAATATTAAACTTGCTGGAAGGTAAATTAGGCAGAACTGTGGAAGACATTGGTATAGGAAAAGACTTCATGAACAAATCCTCAGTAGCACAGGAACTAGCAGATAGAATCAACAACTGGGATCTCATCTTACTAAAAAGCTTCTGTATTTCAAAAGAAACCATCAGCAGAACTAAGAGACAATCTACAATGTGGGAAAAAATTTTTACCAGCTGTTCCTCAGACAAAGGACTATTATCAAGGATATATAAAGAACTCAAAACAATCAGTCCCCCCAAATATAAAGACCCGATTCAAAAATGGGCATCCGAAATGAACAGACATTTCTCAGACAAAGAAGTAAAAGCAGCAAGAAAATATTTGAAAAAATGTTTCACATCACTGATCATTCGAGAGATGCAGATGAAAACAACACTGAGATTCCACCTCACCCCACAAAGAATGGCTGCTATCAAGAAATCACACAATAACAAATGTTGGCGGGGTTGTGGGGAGAAAGGAACCCTCCTCCATTGTTGGTGGGAGTGCAGACTAGTGCAACCACTATGGAAATCAATATGGAGATACCTCAAAGAGCTTGGACTGGAGGTTCCATTTGACCCAGCCATCCCTCTGCTGGGTATCTTTCCAAGAGAACTAAAAGAATCATATCACA